TATATTATGTATATATATATATATATATATATATATATATATATATATATATATATATATATGTCGTACCTAGTAGCCAGAACTCACTTCTCAGCCTACTATTCAAGGCCCGATTTGCCTAATAAGCCAAGTTTTCCTGAATTAATATATTTACTATAATTTTTTTCTTATGAAATGATAAAGCAACTCTTTTCTCTATGTATGAGGTCAATTTTTTTTTATTGGAGTTAAAATTAACGTAGATATATGACCGAACCTAACCAACCCTACCTAACCTAACCTAACCTATATTTATAGGTAAGGTTAGGTTAGGTAGCCAAAAAAAGCTAGGTTAGGTTAGGTAGGTTAGGTAGACGAAAAAACATTAATTCATGAAAACTTGGCTTATTAGGCAAATTGGGCCTTGAATAGTAGGCTGAGAAGTGCGTTCTGGCTATTAGGTACGACATATATATATATATATATATATATATATATATATATATATATATATATATATATATATATATATATGCATGCGAACACGCTTGAATGGTCCTTAAGCATATATGCGACTGAAAACTCCACACCCCAGAAGTGACTCGAACCCAGACCACCAGGAGCACAATGCAAGGGGGAATGGGGAATTAGCCTCGGGGTACCATGGTCTTTTGTACTGTCACTGATGGTCAAGTGGTAAAGAGCCTAAATCAGGTCTTACATAGTAGGCCGAGTATGGCGTTCTGGCTACTAGGTACAACATTATATATATATATATATATATATATATATATATATATATATATATATATATATATATATATATATATATATATATATTATATATATATATATAATATATTGTTGTCTTCAACACTGACACCATCACAGCACTGGCACGGGACCAAGCATATACCCGTCTCGAACAAGCACGCCAAAACGATCTACTGATTAAGTGAATAAATCGTCTCGTCTCTGGCGATGGAGCGGCCGATACTGTTTCTCCGGAGTAGAGGACGGATGAGTAATGTCCGGAATCAATCCTATTACTCCCTTATCTACGATATATTTCATAAACCCATCTATATATCGCCTATCAGCACGGGCTGCTCTGTAATTATTGTGAGTACCGTGGTAGGGACTTGTGTGTTTTTCATGGGATATCTGTTGTGCGTTGTGTATACATAAATATATATATAATGGGTTGTGTTGACAGGCTCTCTCTTATAGCAAGGGTCGATACTGAATGTCTTGTGGCTAGCTTTCTAGGCTGTCTTTTACTTCCTGTGTATGTGTTCTCTCTCTCTGATTAACTGATCATTGTGTACACAGGAAGAAACGGTTCATCAGAACTGTTTGTTGAGGTTATATTAACGTCTGTATTTCTGATGATGATCTACTTTCGTACGGGCCTGTATCTATCGTCCATGGCTGGGTCTATTACACCCGGCTATGTCTGTCTGTTGTACCGAAATGTGTATGCTGTACCGGGTTGTCTTTCTTGTATCAACCTGCGTCTATCCTACCAGACGAAGGTAGGATAGACTTCCATCTATCTCTTTCGTATCAAGCAATGCTTGGTACATTTACAGGGCTATTGATATCGTGCATGGCTGCGGCTATCGTACTGGGCACTAAATATCAAATGCATCAGAGCTACCGAATCGCAGTAAAAATTGTTTTTACAATTTGGTTCAGTACTTGTAGGACACAACTAGTTCACAACTACGCCACCAGATTATGCCATATTAGTTTAACTATCAACAGGCTTTACACAATAGTAGAATATCTGGAAAATATTGGTAATTTACCTAATTTAAAGTAATTTGAATCAATTAGTTTAAGAAAAACTAAAGCTGCATCAGCCCACCGTGAAGGAAATACCTCGTTGGTCTAACGTTATGCTACACAGATTTCTCTGGTTATCTCCCCAATAGAAATCTTAGTAAGGAACAAGAGTAAGACATTGTTACAGGAGGGAGTGCTGAGTCGGAGCTCTGTCATCGTTTAGCTTAACAAAAGGAGAATTTATGGAGGCGTCGCGGAAGGTGTGCTTCGAGCAATGGTAATATGCGGGTATTACTGCTGATGACTTCAACAGTGGGTGAGGTATTGGACAGGTCACCTGAAGGGAGAATTTGGGTGGGTGTGCAACCCGTCCTCTTAAAAATAACGTCACTTTTCGCTCGTATGCGCACTATGGCCAAATTTGGACGTAATTTGAAATGAAATCGACTCACAAAAGTGACGTTCTGTTCCGTTTTCTGTTTGAGTCGTCCAGCTTACTCGGCCAGCTTAGAAAAGGATTCTTTCCATTAACGTTTTTCATACCGTTTTGAAACTTTATAAGAATTTCCTGCCCACCTAACCTATCAGAGGACCCTTAACTTACTGTTGTTGAAAAAAAAATTCCCAAATTTATATTAATTTTTTTTCATTTTCAAATTACGTCCATATTCGGCCATGCGGGCAAACGGCCAAAAGTGACGTTCTTTTTAAGAGGACAGGTTGGTGTGGGTGGTCGGGTGTTGTATGGTGGTGGGTGTGGGTGGTCGGGTGTTGTATGGTGGTGGGTGTGGGTGGTCGGGTGTTGTATGGTGGTGGGTGTGGAAGTCGGGTGTTCTATAGCGGTGGGTGTGGGATGGTGTTGAAGGTTAGGTTTGCCATCAGTTTACCGCTAGTCAGTTACATGAGCCCTTTGGGCTATGTTTATCTTGTGATAAATTGATATAACATTTGCTGTTTCGAGCGTCATGAGGGCTGAGTATAGGGCAGGAGCTGGGTGTGGTGTGGGGCTGGGTGTGGGGTTATCTTGAGGTTATCTTGAGATGATTTCGGGGCTTTAGTGTCCCCGCGGCCTGGTCCTCAACCAGGCCTCCACCCCCAGGAAGCAGCCCGTGACAGCTGACTAACACCCAGGTACCTAATTTACTGCTAGGTAACAGGGGCATAGGGTGAAAGAAACTCTGGCCATTGTTTCTCGCCGGCGCCTGGGATCGAACCCAAGACCACAGGATCACAAGTCCCGCGTGTTGTCCGGTCGGCCGGCCACCTCTCGACCGGGGTGGGGCTGGGTATGGGGTGGGGCAGGGTGTGGGGTGGGGGCTGGGTGTGGGGTGGGGGCTGGGTGTGGTGTGGGGTGGGGGCTGGGTGTGGTGTGGGGCTGGATTGCTTTGTTTGTAAAGAGGCTTTGGGTGTAGAGTGGTGTTTAACGTTGAGCAGTGCTGAGGGAAGGATAGGGCATTGTGTAGAATGGTGTCGGGTGTATCGGGGTGTGGAATGGGACTGACAGACTGCTGAGTGGGTCTGGGTTCAGGCAGGATGTTGGGATGAGGTTTGGTGTGCTGGGTGTGGAATGTGGGTGAGTGAGAAGTCGGACTGGGTTTGCTCGGGGGTATGTGTTGAGGTACACCCTAGGGGTGTAGGGTGTACCTGTAGACTCGAGAAAACTTGGCAGGTAGCTGAAGGCAGCGTCTGGTGCATCTGTCTCTCGCCTGCTCACTATCCATCATCAAGTTTCCAATTTAAATATATAATTGGGATGTTCTCCCCAAACTGTTGCTGTATCTAAAAGTAGCTTCATTTTTGCCAGAAAGTAAATTATTTTTTACGATTTCTTTTTAATTGTGAAATCAATTCGATACAAAACGTCCAAAATTTCTCTTTTTATGAAAAGTTTGTTTTAACATTTTTCTTGATAAAACACATCAAGAAAAGCTATAATCTTATATATAATCAGTGTATGCAATTGCAAAACTATTTATAGAATGAAGTTAGAGAATACGAAATAAGCACGTTGCAATGACACTTAAAATAATGCAATACACCTGCTCTCAGAATGGCTCCCTGATTAGCCAGCTGGCCACATACACAACCCAGAGGAGATTATTCATAACAAACTGAACAATCCATCTCTCGTAATTGGCCCCTCTGACGGTATAGAGCCCAAGAGATGATGGCTCAACTGTGCATTAGTTGTGACTATTGGCCGAGATGTTATCCTCGGAGCTAGACAAGACCGCTGCCACGCACCAGGACTGACTCCCGCAGGAGATAACACATACATTCCTGAGTGTTCGCCCCGAGAATTATATCCTGCCGAACACATAACCACAACGTTTCTACAACATTCGAACAGTTTCTAACTTCCTAATAAGTTGTAACAACGTTCTAATACGTCATAAAAACGTTATAACGAGATGTAACAACTTTATTACAAGTTGTAATCAGGGGGAAAATACGGACAGTTGCGTTGAATGTTTGTAGGGTGTATACTGACGATGGCCAGGATATAACGAATGAGGAAGACTATGTATATATTTAACAGTTGGAAAACGATGTTTATTTGGTGTATATATTTCACTGTTGGACCACTGTATACTGTGTATATAATGAACTGTGGGAGTACGAGTTAGACGATATATAATGAACTGTGTGAGAATGTCCAATATTATATTGTCGCTGTATCTGCCGTCTATTTAATCGTTGTTTGTCATGGCTTCTGGTGATGATCCAACCAGATCACGACCAAATCATTCACCGGAGATATCCTCACCAACTTGTGAGATATCCTCAAGATATCCAGCCACAACATTGGTGAGGCATTAATCAACATCACCCCTTCCTCCGCCCCTTCCTCTCTCTCCCTCCCGCCTTCTTCTATCCCCTCCCTTACCCCCCCCATTCTTCGTCCCTCCATCTCTATCTTCCATGCTTCCTTCCCTCCCTCCCTTCCTCCTTGCCTTTTGCTTTCATCTACTCACCTTTCTATCCCTTTTTTTTTCCTCCACTTTACACTATTTTTGCTTATATCCGAGTGATTAAAATGCAATGTCCAATCACTATAATTCGACTACAGCCTTTAAGCTTTCCAAACACACGGGCACTTTCCAAACACCTGGTCACTTTCCAAAACACCAGGGCACTTTCCAAAACACCAGTGCACTTTCCAAAACACCCGGTCACTTTCCAAAACACCCGGTCACTTTCCAAAACACCCGGTCACTTTCCAAAACACCCGGTCACTTTCCAAAACACCAGGTCACTTTCCAAAACACCCGGGCACTTTCCAAAACACCCGGGCACTTTCCAAAACACCCGGGCACTTTCCAAAACACCCGGGCACTTTCCAAAACACCCGGGCACTTTCCAAAACACCCGGCACTTTCCAAAACACCCGGGCACTTTCCAAAACACCCGGGCACTTTCCAAAACACCCGGGCACTTTCCAAAACACCCGGGCACTTTCCAAAACACCCGGGCACTTTCCAAAACACCCGGGCACTTTCCAAAACACCCGGGCACTTTCCAAAACACCCGGGCACTTTCCAAAACACCCGGGCACTTTCCAAAACACCAGGGCACTTTCCAAAACACCAGGGCACTTTCCAAAACACCAGGGCACTTTCCAAAACACCAGGGCACTTTCCAAAACACCAGGGCACTTTCCAAAACACCAGGGCACTTTCCAAAACACCAGGGCACTTTCCAAAACACCAGGGCACTTTCCAAAACACCAGTGCACTTTCCAAAACACCAGGGCACTTTCCAAACACCAGGGCACTTTCCAAACACCAGGGCACTTTCCAAAACACCCGGGCACTTTCCAAAACACCCGGGCACTTTCCAAAACACCCGGGCACTTTCCAAACACTCGGGCACTTTCCAAACACTCGGGCACTTTCCAAACACTCGGGCACTTTCCAAACACTCGGGCACTTTCCAAACACTCGGGCACTTTCCAAACCACCCGGGCACTTTCCAAACACTCGGGCACTTTCCAAACACTCGGGCACTTTCCAAACACTCGGGCACTTTCCAAAACACCCGGGCACTTTCCAAAACACCCGGGCATTTTCCAAATACCCGGGCACTTTCCAAAACACCCGGGCACTTTCCAAACACTCTGGCACTTTCCAAACACTCGGGCACTTTCCAAACACTCGGGCACTTTCCAAACACTCGGGCACTTTCCAAACACTCGGGCACTTTCCAAACACTCGGGCACTTTCCAAACACTCGGGCACTTTCCAAACACTCGGGCACTTTCCAAACACTCGGGCACTTTCCAAACACTCGGGCACTTTCCAATCACTCGGGCACTTTCCAAAACACCCGGGCACTTTCCAAAACACCCGGGCACTTTCCAAAACACCCGGGCACTTTCCAAAACACCCGGGCACTTTCCAAAACACCCGGGCACTTTCCAAACACCCGGGCACTTTCCAAAACACCCGGGCACTTTCCAAAACACCCGGGCACTTTCTGCACCCTCTGCACTTCGTTAGTCTCCTAACATTTGTTTTCTCTGGTGTACGGTACTTCCTCTCTTCCATGCCCTCCCCCACTCCGCCTCACCATTCCATACTCCTGCTATCCCTCTCCCCCCTCCCTCATGCTCCTGCTATCCCTCTCTCCCTCCCCCATGCGCCTGCTATCCCTCTCCCCCCTCCCCCATGCTTCTGCTATCCCTCTCTCCCTCCCCCATGCTCCTGCTATCCATCTCCCCCCTCCCCCATGCTCCTGCTATCCCTCTCCTCCTTCCCCATGCTCCTGCTATCCATCTCTCCCTCCCCCATGCTCCTGCTATCCCTCTCTCCCTTCCTCATGCTCCTGCTATCCCTCTCCCCCTCCCCATGCTCCTGCTATCCCTCTCCCCCCTCCCCCATGCTCCTGCTATCCCTCTCCCCCCTCCCCCATGCTCCTGCTATCCCTCTCCCCCCTCCCCCATGCTCCTGCTATCCCTCTCCCCCCTCCCCCATGCTCCTGCTATCCCTCTCTCCCTCCCCCATGCTCCTGCTATCCCTCTCTCCCTCCCCCATGCTCCTGCTATCCCACCCCCCGTCCCCCATGCTTCTGCTATCCCTCTCTCCCTCCCCCATGCTCCTGCTATCCCTCTGTCCCTTCCCCATGCTCCTGCTATCCCTCTCCCCCTCCCCATGCTCCTGCTATCACTCTCCCCCCTCCCCCATGCTCCTGCTATCCCTCTCCCCCCCTCCCCCATGATCCTGCTATCCCCCTCTCCCTCCCCCATGCTCCTGCTATCCCTCTCTCCCTCCCCCATGCTCCTGCTATCCCACCCCCCGTCCCCCATGCTTCTGCTATCCCTCTCTCCCTCCCCCATGCTCCTGCTATCCCTCTGTCCCTTCCCCATGCTCCTGCTATCCCTCTCCCCCTCCCCATGCTCCTGCTATCACTCTCCCCCCTCCCCCATGCTCCTGCTATCCCTCTCCCATGATCCTGCTATCCCCCTCTCCCTCCCCCATGCTCCTGCTATCCCTCTCTCCCTCCCCCCATACTCCTGCTATCCATCTCTCCCTCCCCCCATACTCCTGCTATCCCTCTCTCCCTCCCCCATACTCCTGCTATCCCTCTGTCCCTCCCCCATACTACTGCTATCCCTCTCCCCCCTCTCCATGCTCCTGCTATCCCTCTCTCCCTCCCCCCATACTCCTGCTATCCATCTCTCCCTCCCCCATGCTCCTGCTATCCCCTCCACTTCACCATTCTGTCCACATCCCC